CGCAGCTTGCTACTCGCAAGGACGTTGTGTCCTCTCTTCTGGACTTGAGCATGCTCCAGGCTCGTCAGGAGCGACTCACCCTCCATGTCGCTGCACTGCGTCGCCTTCTCGCCATCCTCTCTGACCCTGATCGCACCCTCCCGATCATCCCCGTACGACTCGGGACCTCCACGAGGGTGTACTCAGTGCTGTGGGATTCCCGCTTACCCACGACAGGGTCTCCGACTCTCATCTCTGTTACCCTAGGGGATGACAAGATCCAGCGCTTCTTCGATCAGACGGTCACTGACCTCCCCTTCTTCCTCACTCTCGAGCCGACTGAGCGTTCCCCAGCGTCTCGTCGCCACCGCTCCTTTGCACATTTCGATGTGATGGAGACGGGGTACGACTTCATTCTCGGCACTCCGTGGTCTCGTCGGTTCCGCAGCACCGAGGCCGATTGGGCGACCAACACTCTCGTTCTCAAAACGAAGTGTGGACAGACGTATCGCGTACCTTTCATAGGTACCACGCGCGACACCACACCCCGATCCTTCTCCCCTGGAGCCTTTAGTGCCCACACCATCTTCCTCTATCACTGTCACCTTGCCTCGGCAGTTCGCTCACTTCATTCGACAGGACGACGTCACCTTCTTTATGGTGGACGTGACGGATTTGTTACACTATGATCCACCCTGTCCCGACGCCGAGCTCATCCCTCTGGAGCCAGATCCTCCCTCTATCTCCATGACTCCCATCTCTACTTCCGTCCCTCCGCCGTCCGTCGAGTCCAACCCGTCGTCGCGCGCTGACGCTGACACTGAGGAACTCGCACGATATATGGTTGACTTGGAGCCCGCAGTTCGTGACCTCATCCGCGAGTACCATGACGTTTTCCCATCGTTGTTCTCGTACGCCGGCATCCCACCGATGCGCGACGTCGAGCACTCCATTCAGCTCGTGCCTGACTATCGTGTTCACCACCAGGCACCCTACAAACTCTCGATCCCCGAGGCCACCGAACTCAAGCGTCAGCTTGAGGAGCTCACGAGACCGGGTTTCATTAAACCCAGCAACTCCCCGTGGGGTGCACCTGTCCTCTTTGCTCGCAAAGCGGATGGAACTCTTCGTCTCTGCATCTACTACCGCGGCCTCAACCGCTACACGGTTAAGAACAGCTACCCCATGCCTCGTTCCGATGACCTGTTCGACCGCCTAGCAGGCAACCGCTTCTTTACGAAGATTGATCTTCGTAGCGGTTACCATCAGATCCGCGTCGTTGCAGCCGACTAGCCGAAGACCGCGTTCCGATCGCGATTCGGCCACTACGAGTTCACGGTGATGCCGTTCGGCCCTACCAACGCACCCGCTACCTTCCAGAGGGCGATGAACGACATCTTCAGGGACATCCTGGAGTAGTACATTCTCGTCTACCTCGACGATATCCTGGTCTATAGTCGTACCCTTGAGGAGCACCCCAGACACCTCCGCGACGTCCTTGATCGCTTGCGCAGACATGGTTTCTACGCCAAGCTAAGCAAGTGCCGCTTTGCCCAGCACAAAGTGAATTTCTTAGGACACTACGTGTGTGACCAGGGTCTCTAAATGGACGACACGAAGATCACTGCTATTGCGGAGTGGCCGGCTCCCACATCCGCCAAGCAGCTTCGCAGCTTCCTAGGCCTGACCAGCTACTATAGTAACTTCATCCGGGGATACGCTAGGTATTCCTACGTCCTTACCTCCACCCTCCTCCGGAAGAACCCTCCCTGGGCATGGACACCCCTCCACGAGGACGCCTTCCGCGCCCTCAAGAAGGCGGTGACATGTGCACCGGTTCTTCACCTACCCGATTTTGACCGCCCTTTTAT